GCATATTCCGCGGCTACGCATTCCTCTCCGCATGCAATAGGCAGCAACAAGATCTCCTTCACAAAAGGCAGCGCCTCACTTCCGTGTGCATATTTATTCCCTATTACTCTTTGTTTGCGCAGCACTACGCCCTCTTCGCAGCCTCTGACCGCGGCAGAGAGGAACGATGCTTACATGGAGCAGCTCCTACGAGCCACGGACCAGAGTCTGAAGCTTTAGTGAAGCCACAAGTTAGTTTGCGACTGCTTTTGGGACAGAGGGACAGCGAAGGACCGTTGAGTCGAAGCAACGGCAAACGTATTCGAGAAATGGGGAGCAAACCCTCGTCGGTGATGAAGGTTATTTGGAAGTGCCGGGCCCGTGGACAGTGCCCACGATTTCGCAAGCCAGCAAGTTTGAGTTGAAAACTAGCTTGACCACCCATCACCGACTTATTGCAGCTTGGTTCTTGTCAGTGTGGGAAATAGTGCACACACTGTAGCAATAAAATCGACTGTGAAACTCCATCTTTCTCTATTCTCGCGCGCAGTGCAGGATCAGTGTATCCGCCGCCAGCGCACGGCAAAGCGGGCTCACGGCAATAGTCGTGCGCCCGCAGCAGTTAACTTTTTCCCCTTGTGCTCACACGGCTGGGGGCGATAATTCCGAACGCAAAAGACTGCAATATTGTCAATTCAGCAGTTTTACAATGGAGGAACTGAAAAACTGCTCCTGGTCGGCTTTGCTTCTCATGTTCGCGCCTGTGCGATGTTCTCCGAGAACCAGTCCACAGTCTTCTGCACGCCTGCAAGTTAATCATGCAAGAAATCAGTACTTCTCACTTGGAGGCGAAACGAATAATGAGGTGCTACTGCAGTTTACGGAATCTCCTGGACTTGTTTCAAAGACAAGCATCGCAAAAACTAAGGCGAATAACTAAAAGCGCATGCAGGGGACATATTTCGCGGGCGATTTGCCTTGGTTTTGTATACTTAGATACTTTGTGATATTTAACAGCACCAGGCGCCTTCATCTTAACCGGAAGAAAGCAGCCTACCGTCCTCGAGTGGCGTGAAGATGAATTCTTGGCCGATCACAGCTCTTAACTTCGAGTTGTCCGCAGGCTGTGCAAAAAGCGGCAAAACAAATCAAACAAACTAAACCAAAATGGAAGGAAGAGTTGGCGGGCTAGTGTTGCGCAGGAGCAGCAACTGTTGCTCACCTTTCTATAGACCCCTTCGGGGGCTAACTCGTCAAACTGAGGGAATTGCAGACAGCGCAGCGGCCCAATCCTTTGCACATGCAAATTCTGTATCCCTTCCAGTTGTCATGCTTGAGCCAACAACTCCAGTCAATCACCACAGCTAGCCAAACTTCTCTCTATGGCGCCAGCTAACAGCAGCTAAGCAGTTCTGCTGCGCTGTGGTAGTCACGACGACAGAGGCCGTAAGATAAATTCAAATACCCCACAGTATAAAAGTCATGTGCAGCAATGTTGCGCGTGCTCTGTAGCACTTCCTCATCTGACCTGTACTGGTCCATCAAATCCCGCACAGCGCTTGATCAGCAGCGCGAGGTCCTTTATTGAGATTTCTGATTAAAAAAAGAACAAAAGAATGGAACTTGATGCATTGTGTGTCTCATTTCCCACCGCGCGTCCTTCAAGGTACTTGAATCTAAGCACTAGTGTGCGTCTTCATGCAAACTGGGAAACGCATGCGCGGTTGCACGTACCACTGTCTTGCAAGTCAGGGCACATGTTTAGCAAAGAATGCGTCTCGGGAATATCTCGTTTAACAAGCAGGAGCAGCAAGAGTCGTGCTGCGTCGTCGCTGAATAAAAACTGCCTTAAAGCCCCTCCTCTGCCACGGATAGTGAATGCGGTGCCATCACCTGCACAAGCAACGCAACTCAAACGCAATTACAGATAAACTCACCATGCCAATAATACACATCCATGGCTTTCTCCAAGATGCGAGGCCAGTACAAGAAGTGGCAAAGGACTCCATCTACAAATACGCATGCAACTGCCAAGCAGCTTCTCGCGGCTGAAGGCTCACGCTTGGCGATCTGGACTTTATGCACAAGGGCGGGCAATACGTGAGCTCTGTTTAGCTCAAAGTTGTCGTGGGGCCCGTAGAGATTGCAGGGCAAGACGCATATCCACGAGAAAGTGTGCCCTGCTCAGAGCATTGCGGGAGGCCAAGTTCAACTATGAGCTCACAAGACTAAAGTGCGAGACACCTGAACCGCTCCCCTTGCTGCTGCAGTTGAGTTGCTGCTACAGCGCCGTGGCTGCCTTGGGGTCACTGCAGCACAGGCTGTCTTTTGCTCGGCGGGTGTTATTTGTGTACCTGGGTTTTCCGCCTGCAGCTGTTGGCGGCTAAAACGAACCTGCTGCTCCAGCAAGCGCTTAGCTGCTGCATATCCCTCGTTTGATGGATGAGAAGGCGCCAAGCTGCGTGCAAAAGAATCGTTAGAGGCAGCCCCAGATGATGCCATGTTGCAGCTCGAGCCCAGCAGCAGCAACCCTTGCTCAAACATGCCAGGGAGCCACTCACTGCAGGTATTCCTCTACTAGAGGCAACGATGGGACGTGTTCGGGGTAGGCACAAGTGGAAAGGCAGAAAATGGCGCGGGTCACCTGCGATAATCACTCAGACGCATGCACATGCAAAACCCCGGCAAGGAAACTCAGCGCCAGCACGGGCAAATTGCTGTTTCTTTGCGAATTCCATTCACAATTTTTGAGCCTGTGGATTTCATTCACTATTTTTAGCCTGTTTCCCTCACCTGTGCCTCGAATGCAGCGCGAACTACATGTGTGTTGATCAGCACATTCTCACGGAGAAACGCTTCCTGCTCAAGAACACAAGCCGGCCTACTGACTCGCAGCTTAGCCAAATATCACTCTAACTCACGTTGTCGACTGCTTTTCAAGTTCCAAACTCTAAGCCCAACTCTTTGTTTATTCTGAACCGTAAGGGACGCTATATCTAGTGCTCTCGGGCCAGCAGAATACAGCAACTCGCAAAAACCCCGAGGACAGCTAGACTCTGCTTCAGTCTTTATCAAGTCCCAACCCCATTCACTACATATCTGTAGAATAACTTATCAAGGAGGAGCTGTAAAGCAAAGTCTGCTGCAAGGCGGCCACAGAGTGGCCACTCACATTGTTCTGCATGTTGTCATACAGCCCCCCGACTTTGGCTGCAAGGTGAATTATGGCAGTGGGCTGATAGCGGTGAAAGAGCAGCTGCGTTTCCTGCCAAACTCTGCAGAGTTCACCGACAAAAGGCCCCGCAAAAGCCAAGTAAAGAGTGCAGCGGCCCCGCTTGTGGGGAGGGAAGCTGATCTGTGCTGCCCCAGCCGCCCCGCCTCAGAGGCCAGTCACCTCAAGTCTGCATCTTTAGATCCGACGAAGACGAAGCCGTAGCCGTCGAGATCGCCGGCCTGCGCCTCGAGCTCCTCCACCGTGGACTTCAGCGCCTTTCCCAGCAGCCCTGTGCCCCCCAGAACGAGACAGACATTTTCCCGCGGCTGAAAACTGCAGCCGTGGGTGATGGCCGTCAGTTTCCGCACCAAAGCTACGCCGGGCCGAGTCATTGCTGCTCAAACTGGAGAAGTCTGCAGCTCTGCAGCTCCAACAACTACAGCTTTGCTTCCTTTCCTTCGTTTGTTCACTTCAGGGGGCCTCGACTTGAAACTTGAGGACCACAAGGTTTGCAGAGCGTGAGCCGCTGTTGTTCTTTCGGCCTGAGTGACAGAGAACTCGTATAAGAGCTTTGAAAACTTCAGACTGCTGCCGGTCGTTGTGCTCCAGTCGCAGCTGCAGGTTTCACAGCACGCGTGACGACTTAGCATTGGAATTCAACAGCTTGTTGTCAGCAAATAATGCTCGCTTTACTTAAACACAAAGACGATGAGGCATATATCTGCACTCGGCAGTGGCTGCGGCGAAACTTGTGTTGTTGCGCAGCTCCACGGCCCATTTGAACTATACGGCTGCACATCAGCCTTTTCCCATTCTCAACAAAGCCCTGCATTCACCCGTTGTACATATTTTGCTAAACGAAGCTTCAAGCTTCTGCCGTCCGCCACGTGCTCTAGCGGCCAAGGAACGGGGTCCGCCTCAGCGCTTTTCCGGCAAATACGCAGCGGCGCAGCAAAGTATAGTGGTTGTGACGGTTTTGATGATCTTAATAAGCCTTTAAAGGAATACGATGAAGCGAGTCGCTGCATGCGCATGCAAGGCACATGTTCGCGTCACACGAGTGGTCGCTGATGGGAAACTCAGTGGTCCACGGGAGCGTGTTAGCCCAAACGGGCTCAAAACCACAGTGTATCCCACGTTTCTGTGTTTTTGTTTCTTTATTGCACTTCATTTTCTCCGGGATGTTCCTTGCATTTCCCTAGCCTGCACACCGATATCGAGCGCGCGCAGCTGAAGCTGCGCGCACTCGCAGCTGCAGCGCAGCCGCAACAGGTATGGGGTCAACTGCACAAAAGAGGCTTTGCCTTTGCCTTCTTCAAATGTGTAGAAATTACAGAAGTGTCCACAGAAAAAGCGTGTTGAAGACACAAATATGGCCGCAAGATGCTCACGCCGAGCCGCTCCCCAGCCACCCCAGGGTGCTCGCGCCCAGAATGAAAACGAAATATCAATGTGTACGAAGTCCCCGTGTTTGTACGCAGCAGCTTTTAGCAGCTTTGTCAAAAACGTCTAGTTTCTTGTGAGTACGAGACTCCGTTAGCGGCAAACACCCCGTGGAGCATAGCAGGACTTAACAGGGCTTTTCCCTGTGCCTTAGAAATGGAATTTCTGCAATCCATACTTTCTCGGCTGAGAGCCAGGCGGCCTAGCTAAGAGATTTCGGAGCCTGTAGAGGCTACACTGACTGTTTGGGGCGTCTATAATTGGAACTTTCGGCAAACTGGTGCGAACTGGGTCACTGAAAGGTAACAAATAGACAAGAACCGGTTGAATGCCCGCCTCCAACTGCTGCTGCGCAGCAGGCCACTCAAGAAGGAAAGCGGTGGCGCTGCTCGGCCAGCCGCACTGCTGAGGCCTTCGCGTCGAGATAGAGGGAGTCCACATCTGCCACGTCGTTTGGCTCCACTACTTCGGAGCCCCGCGCCTCTGCTGCCAGCCTGCAGGGCTCCAGCAGCTGCAGCGCGAAGCGCAGCGAAGTCTGCGCGCCGATTTCGCCGAGGGCTTCTAAAGCACTTGGCGACAAGTTCACGCGTTCCACCGCTGCGCGCAGCTGGATCACCTGGACCACCTGAAGTGGAAATCGGAGGATAAACCGGGAAACTGTCATACTGGGACACAATTCACTTAAAAATCAATAAATAATTCTTTTCATATTGGAGAAAAGACCTCTGCAAACAATTTCTCTGGTGCCTTTGCTGCTGGGCAGATGGAAAGCTGTGCATGCACGGTCACTAGTTGCAGTAGTCCGCAACCCACGTACTTCTGAAACTGTGTACGGCTGCGTCTTTATTATCAAAAGCCGATCTAGAAGATCCACAGGCATGCCGTGGGGCTCTACAGAATCTGTCCCGCGAACTGTGCTGACCTGCAACAGCAAAAGGAATCTTCACACTGCAGCAAAAGTTTAAAACGGTGCAGCAGCTGCCGCCAAATGCAACTAACGACGAACATACGCACTCAGCAAAATGCATCCCCAACGCAATTCAAATGCAATTGCCTTTCGCTGAAAACTTCGAGAAATGGCTTGGAATGCAAGGCCCACCAAAAGACCACTTTAATGGTACTACGAAGCTACAGAAGGTGCTGTCACCCTAAGAGGGGCGCCTTACACCACGGTTTGTAGCAAACACGATAATGGGACTCATGGGAGACTCCAAGACGCGGTTGAGGAAGGAGAAACATTCAATGTCCAGCATATGAACCTAAGAGGCGGAGTGCAACCCACAGACACCATGAACACCGTGAACTGATGAGGTCTACAGAGCTATTTCGACTAATTTTTTGTTCCTAGCCCTTTTGTTCAACTGTTTACAACAAAGTTTCGGGTCCAAAAGCATGCAATCGCATCAAACAGACCAAATAATGGACTGCTAACCCCGCGACGTACTTCGTCTATGAACAAAACGCCCGGAATCAGCTGCGCCACGCCCTGCTCAATATATTTGTTGACAGTTTTGTTTATTTCCTCTCGCAGTCTCTCCGTAATTTCAGTTTTGCGGGGTTTCATGTACGCGCCCATCATGGACAAGACATCGGTACCTCCCTGAACACCACCTCAGCACTGCAAGCCCATCCTCTCTTGTAAGCCCTTCCAGCCGAAAGACACTAACTAAGATGATAATATAAGTGATATTTAAGTTCAATAAGATCCCCTGCTGTAGGTATCGGCCTGAAAACGAGAGCCCCAAGTCCCTTCTACTGCATTTGCATTGCGGAGGCGCCATCAGGCGAAGCGCACCTGAGGCTTTGCATTGGCCACGTCTAGATCATGAAGAGAAACAGTTTGCACAACTTCTTTCTTTTTTTCTACATGTCCCTTGGGCACTGGCACGAAGTCTTCGGCCTCGAGGTCGAATTCCGTGGCGTAGGCGTCGCTGCGGCCGACGCGTTTCACGATTCCTGAAGCAAAAAAGATTGAACTGCAGGAACAGAGACACCATTCAAGTGCCTCGTTCTGTTTTTCAATAAACAAATGCTCAAAAAGCTTCGAAAGGGGGGCCCTGAGGCCTGATCGAGGCTATGATTCGTGGGTGGCTGATGCTGGTATTCAGAAAGCGGCTTCAACTCATTCTGCTTCTCACCCGTGTTGGCCTCAATAAATACCACATCTCCGACTCGCACTTTCTCCTTCTGCAGCGAGTCGTGAAGCTGGGGGGCCAGCCGGAGGGTTTTCATTCCCTTGACCGTTTTGAGTGTCAGCATTACGGCGCTGATGCATTTGCCTGCAGACAAGCAGCAAGCCAGAAGCGACCACGTGAAGTCCCTTTGAGCATTTTATCGTGTTTTAAAGCTCCAATTCAAGAAAATAAATCAAGACAATGACATCCTCGATGATCCTGGAGTCACTTTACGATGTATTCAAGCCCAAACTCGAGAAAATACAACGAGATAATGACATTCTTGATATTCCTCGAGTCATTTTAGGGTGTTCTCAAGCTCAAATTCAAGAAAATAAAGCGAACACAACGACATTCTTGGCATTTCTCGAGTCATTTGGGTGTTGGAGAGCCGAAATTCAAGAAAATAAAGCAAAGATAATGAGATCCTTGGTGTTCCTCGAGTCATTTTGGGATGTTTCCAAGCCCAAATTCAAGAAAATAAGGCAAGATAATGACACTCTTGGCATTTCTCGAGTCATTTTGGGTGTTTAAAAGCCGAAATTGAATAGGATAACGCAGAGAGAATGGGACTTTCGGCGTGTTTCCGTGGGTCCTGGTGGAGTTCAAGAACCGCGTCGCACCGAAGCCGCCGTGGGGGTTCTCGGCCTCCTCTGCAGCGAGCTGGACAACTTCGCCCTCGAAGACTTCCTTGACTTCGCGAATGCGAAGGCCGAGGGCTCTTCTGCAGTGCTCGAGCAGCACTTCTGTCTTTTTGACTTCGCTGCTGAACACCGCAGAGGCCGAGAGCGGCACAAACGGCACTCCCGCCCCCAACTGCCCGCAGATCCCCATCGCCAGCGCCGTCTTCCCGGAGCTCACGGGGCCAGCCAGCAGCAGCGCCTGGCCTGCAGCAGCAGCAAACAGCACTCTGCTGCTGCCGCCTTTCCGCCGGCTACTTTGCTGCAGCAACGCTGCGGCAACGCTGCAGCAACGCTGCAGCAACGCTGCAGCAACGCTGAAGCGATGCTGCAGCAAAGCTGCAGTAACCCTGCAGTAACGCTGCAGTAACGCTGCAACAGTGCTGCAGCAACGCTGCAGCGTTGCTGCAGCTTTCCTGCAGCAACGCTGCAGCTTTCCTGCGGCTGCAGTGTTGCTGCAGCAAAGCCGTTGCTGCAGCTGCAGCGTTGCTGTAGCTGCACCGTTGTTGCTGCAGTTGCAGCGTTGCTGCAGCTGCAGCGTTGCTGCAGCAACTGCTGTTGCAGCTGCGGCGTTGCTGCAGCTGCGGACGCAAAGTTCATGAACTGTACATGAAAAAGGTGATTTTTTTGTCATTTTTCGTCATTTTTTCTGCATTTTTCACTAAAACGAAACATTTGCAACTTATTAACAATCAGCAGGAGAAAAGGGAAGTTTAATCCGGAAGAAAGTCGCGAAATTCGCGCGAAGACAGCCCGCCTACCCGCCAGCTTTCGCGCCTTTATCAAGTCCACTATGATCCCCGCGGCCTCCCGCGCCTCCAGCTGGCCCACCATGCCCCCCGCCTGCTGCAGCGCGGAGCCATCTGCTGCCAGCCCCAGCGAGCGGATGTGGCTGTGTGCAGCAACTCGCTGCTGCTGCTGCTTCGTGAGCCCGGAAGCAGTGACTTTCACGCCGTCGCTAGAGCACAAACGCAAGCAGCAGCAGCAGCAGCAGCAGCGGCAGCGCTCTTTCAGGAGCTGCGCCAGTTCCGGACCCGCCGGCTGCGCTGCACAGCTAGCGGGGTACGTGCATGCGGCCTGGGAAGCAGCACAGAAAGCCCCACCTGGAGAGCGGCGCTGCTGCTGCTGCAGCTCCTGCAGCTCCTGCTGCTGCTGCTGCTGCAGCGGCCACGGGGGGGCTCGGATCCGCGTCCATTTCCGCCCGGGGCTTCGAGACCCCAGTTGCTGCTGCTGCTGCGGCTTTCGCGCAAAACCCGAGATCTCCTGCGGAGGACTCTTAATTGGTCTTTAATTGTTTTGCAAGCTCCCAAAAATGAAGAAAAATGCGAGTTTCAGGGTCGCCTGAGGCGGAGCTGCTGCATGCAAACGAGCTTCTCGCGGCCTGTGGGACGAGCAGACTCGCACGGAAGGCTGGGGTCTTTTGTCCATTAATTGCGTTCGTTTTTGAATTGAATATTTTTATTTTGCATTTAAAACACAATTAATTCAAATTTCCCCGAAATCCCCGAAATAATTCACTTCTTCGACTTCTTCGCTTCCCATGCATGCAGCCACCCTCTCCGCCGATTGCCCTTTGCTCTTCCTTCGTTTTACTGGCCCACTCTATTCATTTAATTCGAATTAAATATATTTATTTATTTATTTATTTTTTTATTTTTTTATTTATTTGAGAATCAGGTCAAATTCCAAAAAGCTTCATTTCAGGCCAAATGCGCAGAACGCCTCCTAACGGCCAAAAAGCCGAAACCGAAAAGAAGTAAAATTTAAATAAATAAAAATGAATATTAATTTATTTGTGAATTTGACTTAAATCCCACAAGAAGAAGTCCCACTTAAAGAATTATATTTGCAAAATTAATATTTGCAAAATTAACATTTGCAATATTAACATTTGCAAAATTGATATTTGGATAATTAATATTTGCGAATTTGATATTTGCGAAATTAATATTTGTTGCTAGAGTTTCACTTCTCGTCCACAGACCATTTATTTCAACTTTTGCACTTTATTGAATTCTTCTAAAAGAAAAAAAGAAATAAAAAGAAACAAATTGAAGCCACTGGGGAAGAAACAGAAAGAGAAGCGAAGGGAATCAGAAAAAATTAATAAATGAAACAAAAAATAAAAAAAAGAAAACAAAATAGGATTTAAATTGAGACTTTTAGCGCAAAGGAACTGACCGCTCACTAAGCCACTCAGGCAGCTCAAAGAAATTCATTATATGTTCAAAAGGCTCAAATGCATTTGTTAAATATATTTTTTAAATGCATTCGTTAAATATATTCATTAAATGCAATTATTAAATGCATTCGTTAAATGTATTTATTGAGTGCATTTACTAAATGCAGTTAAATTCGATTTGATGAGTTAAATTTAACAGCATTTCTCTCAAACCCAGTGCTATAAGATTACTTGCATGCGCTGTGCAATTTAAAAAAGAAATAAAAATCAAACTAAAATAAATTTACAAACTTTCAACTCTTCTCCGGCAGCCGCCATTTTGCAGCTTTTGCTCCTCCCGATTGCCACGGTGTCTGTACACCCCAATCGTGAGCGCCCAGATGGAAGAGTCGGCTAACGTATAATTGGAATAAAGGAAATGATAAATATATTATATATGTATAAATCTATGAAGTATATATATATGTATATTATATTATATATGTTCTATACATATGTTCTATACATATATTCTATTATATATATTATATGTTATCTATTTATGTGTTCAGAGTCTTTTTTTCAGGATTTCTTTGCATAACAGTTTCGCTTTCTGCAGTGTAACTACAGCAGGCGAATTAGCACTTCAAATCAAATTCAAAAAATTCATTTTCGGGTGTCTTTTGAGTTTATTGTTTGGCATTAGAGCAGCAGCAAACTGGCTGCAGCAGAAGTCTTTTTTAATTTCAAATTTCTTTTTTTTAAACTTTCTGTTTTCGAAGTCGCAGCATATGAACTGCAGCAAAGCTTGCTGCTCCTTTTGCCCCATCCCCACAGCTCTCGACCTAGTCCTCATATGTCCTAAAGGCGAAGTTTATGTAAATTTGTATATATAGATATTAAGAGATAAAATGATTTATCTCCTAATAAAAAAAAAATATATATATATACATATTTATATATATATATGTATAGTTTATATATATGCATATAAGCCCCTCTTTGTTATTTAAAAAATCGTTGTGTCTCTTAATATGTATATATATATACACACATATATATATATATGTACACATATATGCATATGTATGTATATATATGTATATAAGCCACTCCATGTTTGAAGCTTTGCGTGGGTTGCATTCTCAGGAGAATTTGGATGCAAGTTTTGTACTAAGAGGCATTTAGTGAGCTGCGTCTATTTCACTTATAAATGCGTCGCTATGAACAAATGGCATTTTAAGCACAAGAGCTTTGGCGGGGACTGGCGCTGCACCTGGCGGAGTGAGGCCGCTTGCGCGTAGAGTGCCTGTACACACTAAAAGCGCCTTTAATTTGAAACATAAAATGTAAAATTAATTTTAATCTTTATTTAAATTCATCTTTTCGGATATTTCGCGCGAGTTCTGCGCCCCTTGCAGTGCCCAGCGCTGCACATGCGCTGCCTCACTTGACGGGGGCCACCACCGACTCAATGGGGGGTAAACCCGGCCTAGACTTGCAGTCTCACTGCAAAAAAAGAAAAATTAGCATTAAATAACATGAAAATTTCCCTAAGGAACAATAAAAATGAAGACAGAGGAGTTGTTCCACCGAGAGCCGGCGCCGGTGCTGCGGTGTACGTACACCCAATCTCGGCTAGACCCAGCAGACCTGGGGCCCGAGGCTTGAAACCGGAAGCCGCAGTCAGAACTGATGAAGTTTTTGACAATTTGTTTTAAATATTTGAATTTTGGCTTTTAGAGAAGCGCCGAACTCGCTGGAGGGTTCGCCGCAACGGAGTTGCTGACTGCGACCCGGGGGGTCCACCATTCGAGCTGGTGGGCTGAATTTGGAGGGCCCGGGGCCCCCGAATTTGCGATCTTCTGCATTTCGAGTCTTCAAATGCAATTTAAAGTCTGAAGATCCTGGAAAGTCGGAGAGTTTGGGGCTGGGGGCTGCCCTTGGCCGCGGCCGCCCGGCGTGGCTGCGCCGCTGTCTTGATGGAGTCTGCACGCCCCCGATCTCTCGCGCTCCGCTGCAGCAGCGGGCCCTCGGGAGCTGGAAGCAGCTAATTGCAGAAGAGGAGAAGTGGACTTTGGAATCAAAATGATTCACTTCCGGCGAGTTTTGCAGCTTCGGTGGCGGCGGTGGGTGCTGGTGTACCTGCCGCTTCTGGTGTCTGTACAGCTCGCCGCGCAGCTGGTGCTGGTCCACTGGAGCTCGCCACACGGCCACTCCCTCAAAAACAGATTTTTCGAAAGCAGCTACGGGCTGTTCAACTACGAAGTGGGGGAGGCCCTCTGCAGCAGCCCCGAGCTGCTGCGGCCGCCCTCTCTGGTGCTGCAGCAGGCCCACGAGCTGCTGCAGCAGCAGCCGCAGCTGCTGGCGGCGCTGCGGGCCGCGGGGGAGGCGGAGCCGCTTCAGGTGTACGTACACTGGGCGCAGCGCTTCGCAAGGCGCAGCGCAGCGCAGCAGCTCGCGCTGCTGCAGCAGGCGCGTCAGTTGGAGTCTTCGGACTTCACTTCTGGGCTTTCTGGCCTTTCGGAAATCTCCGGATTGGACTTAACTCAGGAAATGCTGACTGCTGCTTTCATATTTTCCGAGTGTCGCCGCAAAGGGCTGCTGAAGGCGCCGCTGCTGCAGCAACTGCTGCAGCAAAAAGACTCCAAACTGCTGCAGCAAAGCGACTCCAACGAGGACTTGCTGCAGTCCCTGGGGGTGCACACGCAGCTGCTGCTGCCCTCGCGCTTCCTGGGCGACCCGCAGCGGATCTGCTGGGGCTTCGAAGAGAAAAAAGAAGACTCGGACTCCAGCAGCAGCAGCAGCAGCGGCTGCTGCTGCCCGCCGCTGCAGCTGGCGCTGCAGCTGCTGCCGCTGCGGCTGCAGCGCTGGTGGGCCCGCGCCAGGTGGCAGTACCACTTCGCGGAGTACCTGCGGAAGCTGCTGACCATTTGGTGGCCAGTGGACCACTTCATGCACCAGTTCTTTCGCCAAGACGCCAACGCCCTCCTCGCCCTCATGAGTCCCTACTTGGAGCTGCAGCCCCCCGTGCCCCTCGAGCCCTCTTGCGGGGCCCCCAGGGGCTACTGGGTCCAGCCGCTGCAGCGCGAGCAGTGGCAGGCCCGCAGCAAACGCGCCTCCCCAGCTGCTGCTGCTGCGGCAGGTGCTGCAGCAGGTCCTGCGGCAGGTGCTGCAGGAAGTGCTGCGGCAGGCGCTGCAGGAGGTGCTGCAGCGGGTGATGCGGCAGCTGCAGCAGCAGGTGCAGCAGCAGCTGCAGCAGCAGCCCCTGGCGTGAACTCGTCAGGTCCTCGGCAGAGTCTTGCTGAGAAGCAAAAGCAAGGGGAGTCGGGGCTTTATTCAATTCCTGAAGATCATGACAATTATGTGCTGATCGACGACTACTGCAAAGCTGCGCGGGAAATTCACCGAGGGTTTTTCTCGGGAAAGCCGCGGCCCAAGCCCGTAAAAATCGTCGACGCTGTAATTTTGGGGTAAGTTTGCAATTCAAATTCAGAATTAAATCCAATTTGAGTTCAAATTTGGAAGGATTCCCTCGTTTGTGAAACGCGCAAGAAGTAGCGAACTCCCGGGTGTCTGTACACCCCGCGCGCGGTTTCTGCAATTTCCGCCGCCGCGGAGGGAAACCTCTCGATCTGAATGTGAAAAGGGCGGGAACTTGCGGAACCAAAGTGTCATTTGCGTTGAATTACCATTAATTATTGGAATGTCGGGTTTTTGTCTGCAGTTACGACTTGGATCTTCTGGAAATCCGGTGGCACGAGCTGCAGCACACGGTGGACTACTTCGTGGTTGCGGAGGCGCACCAGCACACGCTGGGGGTGTTTCAGAAGCCGCTTTTTTTCGAACGGAATCGAAAAAGATTTGCAGCTTTTGAAAAGAAAATTATTCACCTGGTGCAGCCGTTCGCAGCCTCGCTTCCCGTGGCGGAAAGCTGCAGCCGCAGACTCCTCGCAGACCAAGACGCCTGCTGGGAATTCGAAATGTTCCAAAGAGACTCTTTGCTGCACATGTTGGCGCAGCTCAACGCGGGCGCTGCGGGCCACGGCAACGCCCACGTGGCCCCTGGCTTTTTGCAAGACGAAGACCTAATTCTGGTTAGCGACGTGGACGAAATCGTCATGGGTGAGTCTCCGAACTTCCCCGTTTTTGTCTTTTTAAAACCACTAAGTTCAGCTCTCTCCCCTCCATTTAACTCCCCCTTCTGCGTTGCATGCGCTTCCGCTTTCCTGGCTTTGCAGCGCATGCTCAGGGCTTTTTTTAATGTGTCTGCATGCGCATGCAAGCCTGCATGCATTTTTCCTGATTTTTGGTTCTTTGCTTTTGTTTGTTTTCATATTTATTTGCCTTTTGGTTTATCTCCATTTGTTTGCATGCACCTCGTTTTCATTTTGCTTTTTTATTTGGTAATTGCAAATGTGGAATATTCTTTTCTCTTTTGTTTTTAAAGTTTAAGTCTTACTTGAATATTATTACTATGAAATATAAAGATATCTTCAATTTAAAATTCTAATCTGTTTATAAAATCAAAATGTTTATTCCGTTTGCAACTGGTGACACTTAAGCAGCGAAGTTTTTTATTTTTTTGTTTTCATTTATGAGATAGTATTTTATTTAAATGCTTCACAACATATGTATATATTTGCATGCAATAAATAAATACCACTTAACCTCAACAGCTTCTTTCAGACCTTAAACAACGTGCACGCATCAGCTTTCGCTGCTGCTGCTGCTGCTGCTGCAGGGGATCGGCTGCGGCACCTGAAGTACTGCGAGCCGCTGCCGCAGAAGCAGTTTGGCTGGGTTTTGGTGCACTATCCGGGAAGAGTGGACGCAATGGCCTTAAAGGACTTTAAAGTGATGTCGGGAATAAAAGAAACTCCATTTCCGCATGCAATAGGGCCTCTGGTGGACACAGTGGTGAGCAGCAGCAGCGGCGATCAGCGGAAAGATGAAGCTAAATCGATTTATATTTCATTTCTAGTTGCGAAATAACAATAAAAGATAAAACTTAATTCAATTTGCTTTTATTTTGTCACTGACACGCGAAATTCAGGCTGCAGCTCGCAGCAGCAGGTGCTGCAGCGGCGGCGCCGGCGCGAAACCTCGCAGCCTCGACGCGGTTTCTGCACGATGTGCAGCTTTTTGAGTTTCGTTTGCAGCTAAAGTGGTTTAATTTGCAAAATTAACTTCAATTAAATGCCATTTTTCGCGTTTATTGCGAGCTTTCCGCCGTTTCGCGCAGCCCTACAAGTCCATCCGACACCTCGAGGCCAAAACGGACTTCGTCTACGAAAGCCACGCGTACACCCGACACTGCCCCTCTTCACTGACACCCCACCGCTACCTCCACGGAGGCTGGCACCTTTCAGGTTTGTTCCCACTTGCTGCAGCAGCAGCAGCAGCAGCAGCAAGCAGCTACAGGCAGCAGCAAGCAGCAGCAGCAAGCAGCAAGCAGTTGCACTAAGCCAATACTGAGGCGCCAACGCGACAGATCGCCGCTGTATGTGCATGCACATGCATGCATGCATAAATGCGTATTTAAATAAATTAAATAATATATATATAATCTAGATAATGTATATATATATTATAAATACTGAGTGGATATATTGTATACATGTACTCAATATATACATATATATATTTTTTATTGTCAGCATGAAGGCAGTAAAAGAAGTAAAATAAAGCTCTCAGTATTTGCGTGAGTTCTTTGCAGCTTTCTGCTGATTTCAGCTGCTGCTGCTGCTGCTGCTGCTGCTGCAGACACTTCTTACCTGCCGTACTTGTACGCGAAAGTGCCGTCGGACGACGTGAAGCCTGGCTACGAGCCGTGGGGCCTTTACGCGCCGCTGTTGGCGCAAAGAGGGGAACTGGACTCTCCAGTTGGAGGCATTTTGCAAGCCCAAGTGGCTGCTTGGAAGGACTTTCGAGACTACAGACAAGTCGGCTCTCTCTGCGTGGATGCGAAGGATGTGCGGCGAGAAAAGCGGCGTTCAGGGACCCCAGCAAACCCTAAACCCTAAACCCTAAACCCTAGCCCCAAACCCCAGGCCCGCATGTGCGGAACCGCAGGATCCACCCCGCGGCGGGTTTGCATGCATGTGCTGCATGCGCTTTTGAATCTGTGGGATGCATGCATCATTTAGGTTTATTTTGGTTTAATTTATGTTTATTTTGATTTACTTTGGAATTTATTTTGGAATTTAAAGACAGAAAACTGAAAACTGAGCTCTTTTGCATGCAGGTGCCCGAACAGTACAAAGAAATCGGCTTCGGCTCGATGCCGTGGGTCATGCGCTGCAACCCCATGCGGTGAGCATTTTCTTTTGCAAAAAGCCATCCTAGTTCGTTAAATTGTGAAAAAAGAATTCACAATTTGTCAAATTATGAAAAAAGAATTCATAATTTGTCAAATTGTGAAGAAAGAATTCATAATTTGTCAAATAAATGAAATTTACCAGATCATGCATTAGTTCTGCGTATTCATGAATTGCCCAAATACATATGATGCAATGCATGTTGTATACTTATAAATTTTAAACATAATGTATATATAATCTGTAATATAAACATATTTAATTGTTTTATTCATGAATTGATAAAGTCTATTATTGCATTTCCCTGTGCTGAACCACTCGCTGAAAACCCGAAGAAGCAAACTTGAAAACCTGAACAAGTGCTCGAAAAAGACCCCCACGGCGCCCAAGTCAATCTTTTTAAATGTTTATTTTCTTCCTATTTCTTTTTTATTTCTTTTTATTTCTTTTTTATTTCCCTTTTATGATTTTCTGCGCCATTTGGAGCCCGTTTGGGCTGCAACAGCTTTGCCGCTTTTCTAACTGCGCCTAGCGCATTCAAGCAAATGTTGAACACCAAGTGGAATAAGATCTAATGTTTATTTTTGATTGTTTTTGCGCTTTTTGTTTATTTTTTGCCGCTTTGTCACTCTAATTCCAAGTGTGAGTGAGATTTAATGTTTATATTTGATTAATTCTTCATTTTTCGTTTATTTTTTGGTGTCTTGTCACTCTGCTTCCAGATGTGAATGAGATCTAGTGCTCATTTTTGATTGTTTTTGCATTTTTTTGTCAATTTTTTCCTGTTTTCTCACTCAAATTCCAGGTATGAATAAGATTCTATGTTTATATTTGATTAATTTTTGCATTTTTTGTTTTTTGGTGTTTCCGCACTCTTTTTCCAGGTATGAGATCTAATGATCATTTTTGATTATTTTTGCATTTTTTGTTTATCGATCGACTCCATTTCTAGTTATGAATAAGATTTAATGTTTATATTTGATTAATTTTGCATTTTTTGTTTATTTTTTGGTGTTTCGTCACTCTGTTTCCAGATATCCCACCTGGTTTCAGCAGCCAGACCCCCGCTACTCAATGCGCCCGGAGTCAAGTTTTGTAATTTACGGCAAGTCCGTCTGTGCGCGGTCTCTAGAGGAATGGTTTTCCATCTTCAGGTTTATAAGAGACACTTACACAGCAGTCATCCCCAGCACTAGCGGCATCAGCAGCAGCGACAGCAGCAGCGGCAGCAGCAGCAGCGAAACCGTTGCATATAACAGAAATTGATGCAATCGCGCGCATTTGCGTATTGCGGCTGCAGCAGCAAGAGCAGCAGCGGAAGCAGCAGCAGCAGCAAAAGTAGCAACAGTGAAGATCACAAAAAGGCACTCACAAGTATATATAGTATATGTACTTGTGTGCACAGATTGCATTGGCTGCAGATGCTTGCATGCGGTGTACAGATATAGTTGCATGCGTGTGCGCATTTGCAAGAATATACGCCCATTTGTGCCTTTATAATCTGATAGTGCATTGCAATTTATTTATAATGGAAGAAACAATAAAATGAATTTGAAAAAGCTTGAAAATGAGCTGTTTAGGCACTCAAGTGCAGACTTTTATTTCTTGTTTCTGCATTCAGATGTTTCGTTTCATTTTTTCAACCTATAACCTGTCAATTTTCATTTTCATTTTCCATTTGCAGCAGCTTTAATAAAAGCAGAAAAACTTTAATCTGATGTTTCTCGAGATGGAAACATTTCATGCATCTAGGGTTAAGGGTTTAAGGGTTTAGGGTTTGGGGTTTTGCTGCTGCAAACCCTTATTTTGCAGCTCTTCTGAGCTGACTTGCTCGAATAGCCGCAGCAAAGCGTCATTAAGGATAAGTAATAGTTAAATGTTTTATTTATGCTATTTTAGGCTTATATTTATGCCATTAAAGAAGATATGCTCCAGAAACCTGGACCCGCGGGGATCCAGCCAGTGCAGTCAGGAACTTCTGAATCGAATCTGAACTCTCTTAAAGACATATTCTCGTTTGGTAGCACCTTTTGCACTAAATTATGATTAAATTGATTCATAAATACCATTACCAAACATCAAATGAGAATATCTCTCCAATTATAATTGAGTGCAGAAGACGTGGGCTAGAAGGGAAGCCTCTGGGAAGCCTCCAGAGCCAGCCAGGGGAAACTCCAAGGCGCTCTTTAGAAACAAGGCTTCCAGCACTAAGAAATAAGTAAATGAATAATATAAAGGTGAAAAAGTAAGTATAAATAAAAGTATTGCGAATGTAAACATGTGTGTGGCCACAGCGGCCAGAGAAGCTTTGCACCAGGAAAGCAGCAGCAGTTGTCCGTGAAATTGGAATTAAACTGGAGCTCAAGAATAACTTTTGGATATAAACTCTTTACAAACTTGTGCGGAAACGGAGAGAAGGAAATAAGAGCCGCAGCTACGCAAGTCCAGCTTCATCTGGACTGGAGAACAAGGCAGGAGCCGTAGCGTCGCGCAGCAGCGAAGAACCAAGTAAAAGCTTTCTCAATTGATCAATATATAGTGAAAAAGTAGTCTTTTGAAGAAATGAATCAAAAGAAAGAAGGAAAACGAGCAGAGAGGCACTGAGGAGGCCTGGAAAGCAAGAGCTGAACTGAGAAGTTGAACTGGCTGGCTGGCTGGGTTGTGGCGAAGACTTGAACAGCGGCAAAAGTGGGGTTTTCGGTCAACGTTAGGAGTCAAAAATAAGAAATTAAATAAAGTAAAACTTGAAAAGGGAAAAAGAAGCACTAAAGAGCTGCAAATGGAGCAGCGGAGTGCCGCAGAGTCGTATCCAGGCCTCGCAGGAGCAACACCGAAATAAGCGGAAGGCGAGCAGCTCGAGGGTTAATCAGCAGCAAAACAAAACGAAAGAAATTTAACTTTTGCATTTAATTCATTTTAAAGGCAGATCAGCTTTGAAACGGGTCTTTCGAGTCAGCCGCTGGAGCGCGCAAGCTGCTGGAGCGCAGGGGCTAGTTAGGAGTGCTTTCCGTTGAGTTCGGGACGAATTGGCCTCGTTTGGCTCCCAAAACGCCGAATTGTGGATTTAAATGCAGCTTTCGAGGCTAGTGAGTCTGGGATTTGCACGGGAAGTGAGATCGGGCGCGGGAAAGGCGAAGAAGGTTTTCTGAACGCCGGGGAGGCTGGCGCGGCGGCCGCCGGGGCTGCGGCGAAGACTCGTGCGTTTCGAAGGACTCGAAGGGCCGAATTTGTCGAACTTCGCGGACTTGTCGCTGCAAAAGGGTTTTCGGAGGGTTTGAGCGGCGGGAAAGTGCATGCCAGTCTGCCGCGGCGGCCGGGCTGCGTGTGTGGCGGCGCGAGCGGCGGGGGATCCGGGAGATCTGGGGATTGGGAGTGGAAAAAAAGCTGCGGGGAGTTAATTTGCGAAGTTTAGAGAAGCGAAGAGTTTGGAGCGGGGCGAAAGTTGGCGAGAGCCGGCAGATCGGCGGGCGGATCCGCGAGGGGCTGGCGCTGCAGCTCTGCTTCTGCAGGGGCGTTGCTGCTGCGCTGCTGCAAGATGGCGGCTCCCGGGGAGGCAGCTGGAAGCAAAGGCGCAGCAGCAGGCGCTGCGGAGGCAGCAGCAGCAGCAGCAGCGCGGGCGGCGTGGCTGCGTGCGGCGGCGCGCGGCGCGGGCGCGCGCAGCCGCGGCTCCGCGCTGGCCGAGCTGGAGCGGCAGCAGCGCAGCAGCAGCAGCAGCAGCAGCAGCAGCAGCAGCCCGCAGCGCTACCTCACCTTCGCGCAGCGCCAGGCCCTCGTCAACTCCCCAGCCCCCGCCTGGCTCCCCATGCTCGTGGCCTTCGGGATGATCTGCTTCGTGTCGATGACGCTGTCGGGTTTGGGGGGCGAGGGGGACTTGAGCAGGGGCGGGGGGGAGCGCTGGGAGCTGCCGCTGGCGGCGGAGGGGGCGCTGCAGCAGCAGCTGCTGCAGCAGCAGCTGCTGCAGCAGGCCGCAGCAGCAGCAGCAGACGCCGAGCCCGCCGACGCAGACCCGCAGCGCCCCCGCAGGTCCAGCCAGCTGCTGCTCGCCAGCCACGAGCAGGCCCTGGACTGGGTCGAAAGCAAACAGTCGCTGTCCACTTTGATGCTGCGGCCTGCGGACTACGTCACTTTGCACGAGGCCCCGGCGCAGCTGCAGCAGCTGGCCTCGCTGCTGCTGCAGCAGGCCCGCGACCTGCAGCAGACGCAGCGCCTGCAGCCCTACAGCCACTCCAAGCTCTCGCTGCTGCTGCAGCAGGACCTCATTGCTGCTGCGGAGCTCGTCCTCCTCTGCAGGATCCTCGCCGCCAGGGGCGCCCTCGACGCCGCCCAGGTGCAGCGCCTGCAGCAGCTGCTGCAGCTCGCGCTGCAGCGCTTCGGGAAACAGTGGCCCGCAGCTATTGGCCTTTCCCGCTACGTCCCCAGCAGCAGCGACCAGGAGCTCTACCTGCGGCTCGTCAGCGCCGTCGCCGCCGCGCTCGACGACGCCGTCCGCTTCTGCCTCGCCGAGGCTCAACAAAGTCCAGAAAATGCAAAAATTGACAAAAGAAAACGCGCGTGGAACGTCTTGACCGCCAGGTTCGACATCCAGCGCCTCCTCCAGGGCGCCGGCTTCCCCGAGGTCGTCGCCGACGTCTTCCGCACCGAGTAGCCGCCCCGATCCGACGGAATCCCGCGCGAATTTCCCATTTATTTCCACAAAATCCCTCTTTATTCGCAAAATCAACCCTAGTTCGACACCCGATACGCGAAAATCGGAAAAATTCCAAACAAATTCTGGCGCAGGTGACAGGTAGTTCAACTTTTCGACCTGGTGTCTGTACACCCCAACGCGGAAACCGCACCCGCCGAAGGAAAACCAACGCCACTTCACTCCACAAATTGGTGCTTTATATCCACTTATTAAAATGTAGGTGAGTATTTACGCGCCGTTTCCTCTTCAAATGTTTCTTCTTCTATTTCTTGCCCCCTTGTGTCTGCTGCTGAACGACCTGCACCACCTGCATGCGCTTTAGCCCAAATATAGTTATCTTTAGATATCAAATTCGCATGCATCTGATATATATATAATATATATTATACATATATTGTTGTAATATTTATTTATGTATGTATATGTTTGCATGTATATATATTTGTACATTGTATAATACACATACATTATATATATGCATGTTTACATACATGTACATTTGTGTATTTATGTATACAAGTATACATTTTTATGCGTAGCCTGCAAACATGCATTTTCAAATATAAATTGCAATTAAAAACAAATTAGAAGTACACATTTACCCACATAAGCTGTGCTGTGCATTTATACATATATGAATTATATATGAATTGCATAAAACTGAAACTCCACATTTATATATATAAAATGCAAATTTGCATTTATATATATAAAAGCAACTCTTCATTTATGGCAGCAAACGCATGCGTAGTTGCATGCGCTTTGTTTGCGCAATTGAAGACGCAGTCCAAGGCTGCTGCAGCAGCAGCAGCAGCTGCTGCTGCTGCTGCTTCTTGAAGGATGAACGGAGCTGCTTCGAGAAAGCATTTAATGCGCAAAAGACTCACCTGGGATGGACAAAAAGTTATTTTTATTATTTTGAATTTCGGGAGCTTCGTGGGGCCGGGGTGTACGTACACTTGAGCTGTCTGTACACCTGGGCGCCTCCACTCCTGCGCCGGCAGTTTCTTGAAATGCATGCAATCAGGATCCAGAATATTATTTATTATTCATATATGTATAGATGCTTCATCTATATATATATAATATATATATATAATTTATATATATATATTATAAATATATATATGTACATGTATATATATATATGTGTATATAATATATATTAATGCATATATATATATATATGCATATGTATATATATAATATATATAATACATATAATATATATAATATATATATTATGTATACATAATCTATAATTAATGCACTTCGTTCTCTGGAGATATTCGGAAAGAAATAAAAGTGAAAAACAAAAAACAAGAGGCTTCCCGTTGGCTCTTGGGGTGTACGTCCAGTGGGACACAAATGACACTTTTGCTTCCAGTTTTTTTCGCAGCAAAAACTTCAGCTTTGATTGCCTTTTGGCCTTCAGACTCTTTCCTACTCGGGTTTAGGGTTTAGGGTTTAGGGTTTGATTCCAGTTTCTCAGGGTTTAGAGTTCAGGGTGTAGGGTACTTGAGCTTTCTGAAGTGCACAGCAAACCTACCAGCTGTAGAAGCAGCAGCATCCGAAGTCGCAGCAGCAGCAGCAGCAGCAGTAGCAGCGTAACAGCAGTGGGAGCAGCAGCAGAGGTCCAGAGGGTTTTGAGTGCGTGTGGCTCTAAACCCTAGACCCTAAACCCTAATGCGTATTCGCTTGCGAATGCAAATGCCAGCTTGCCTACATTACTGGTGCATCAGATGCAAATATAATTCGAATACTGAACAATTTAAAGCTCACTGGAGCATCAAATGGAAATATAAAGTGAATTGAATGAAATATAAAATGCAGCTATGACTCAAATGAGCGCCTGAGCTGTACTGACACCGGCGGAGTTGCTCTCGGCTCGGACTGCGTGCAGAGGACGATATATGCATTTATATTCCGCCGTTTGAATTAGTTTTTGTGAATTAGAATAAAATAAATCAAATTAAATTCATTTAAATTAATTCAAACTATTGAAGTGGCGCAGATGAGTGAAAAAGAACTCGCGCTCTGGCGCGGCGGGCCGAGTGACCGCTGGCGGACCACTGCGCGTGTATTCGTCGAGAAGGCGCGTGAAAAGGCGGGAAAAAAGGGGAAAAGGGGAAAGAAATGATTTAACGTTTTTAGAAGTTCAAATAAATTGAATTTGTTTATTCAATTTAGTTTATTTCAAGGGCAAACGCGCCAAAGTGACGCAGGGGGCTGGGGTGTCTGCTGGCCCCGCAGCGGTCAGTGACCTGCGGCAGCAGCGCGTGCGCGATTCGGGTGTCTTTACAGCTCGGCACAATCAATTTGTGCGTCAAATCGGCGCCAATTTGCATTTAATCAAATAAATTGTGTCATTTAATTTGGAAAAGAGGCAAGGGGGTCTGTGTCGGAGTGCAGTTTCGCGTTTCTGGCAGCCGCGAGCGGGCAGCGGCGGGGGCGCACTGGGGCGTGTTTCGCGGGTTTGTGGACTTCTTTTTTTTGTTTTTTCCGAAAATGGCATTTAAAAGGAGTTTACTGCCGCTTTTGCTGCTTGGAGCAGCAGCAGCAGCAGCAGCAGCAGCAGCAGCCGAAGAAGGCCCCTCCGTTCAAGAAATCGTGAACAGCCGCCTCATTGCGGGATTCAAAGATGGCTGCAACCCCGAAGAAGCTTCTCTTCGAAGTTTGGGAATTGCCGTCAGAGCTGCTTACGGCGAAAAGAGAAAACTCACCAAGTTCCCGGAGGCCGCCTCCGCGTAACCCTAAACCCTAAACCCTAAACCCTAAACCCTAAACCCAAGTAAACCCTAGTAAACCCTAGTAGACCCTAGTGAGCCCTAGCAAACCCTAGCAAGCTCTGCTACTGAGCCCTAAGCCGCGCCACTGCCGATGCACATGCACCCCTCCAAACCCCAAACCGCCCCGCCAACCCCTAAACCCTAAACCCTAAACCCTAAACCCTAAACCCTAAACCCTAGTTGGCGTGCAGGATCGTGATGGACGTGCGGGAGACGGGGGCTGAGGACTTCAGCACTTACAGCCGGCGGCAAACTTCTTTCGAGTTGCACTTGGCGCAAAGTGGAGATGATTATTTATTTGTGGGAACCTCTTTTTGGGGTTTGGAAAACCCTCAGAAGTGCGTGGTTTCGCGGCAGCACTTGAAGCGCGTGGGGGTTTCCATCATTTCCTTCTCCAACTGTCCCCTGCTGCTCCAAACCCTCGAAACACCAATTAGGGTTTTCCAAAACGACTCTTGCGTTCTTTTCGTCGAAAAGGACTCCGTCGTGCATGCGTACCCCACCATTGAGGGTCCCCCCGTCGACGAAGAAGCCCTCGTAAACCCTCACGAGCCCTGGAAACCCTTTTTTAGGGTTTCGCCGCCCCGGAAGCCCCTTGAAGTTCACTGAGCCGCCCTAAAGTGTACTGCACTGCGCTAAGGCCGAATAAAGCGTTTTAAACTGCATGAAAGTGTTTGAAAGTGTTTTAAAGTGTTGGAAAGTGTTGGAAAGTGTTGGAAAGTGTTGGAAAGTGTTGGAAAGTGTTTTAAAGTGTTTTAAAGTGTTGGAAAGTGTTGGAAAGTGTTGGAAAGTGTTGGAAAGTGTTGGAAAGTGTTTTAAAGTGTTTTAAAGTGTTGGAAAGTGTTTGAAAGTGTTTGAAAGTGTTGGAAAGTGTTTGAAAGTGTTTTAAAGTGTTGGAAAGTGTTTTAAAGTGTTTTAAAGTGTTGGAAAGTGTTTTAAAGTGTTGGAAAGTGTTTGAAAGTGTTTGGAAGTGTTTGAAAGTGTTTGAAAGTGTTTGAAAGTGTTTTAAAGTGTTTGAAAGTGTTGGAAAGTGTTGGAAAGTGTTGGAAAGTGTTTTATAATGGGGAAAGTGTGGAAAGTGTTTTAAAG